ATTTGTTTTGTGGGATGTCCACGACCCCATCGAAAGGGGTAAAAAAAAAAAAAAAAAAAAAAAAACAAAAACAAAACAACCCCCGACGTCGTCGTCTTTGGTGGCATAGAAATTTTTCTTTTTTTAAATTCAGGTAGATTTTGTGGTCGTTTGTTATTGTTGTTGTCGTGAGTCTTCTGCTTTCTTTACAAAAAATTGTTTTTCTATTTAAATGTTTTCTCTGACAAAGAGTTCCTTCTACGCCCCCCTTCCCTCTCCCCTACTTCTCATTAAATTTTCCTCACAGTTGGTCTGATAGTTTGCGAACGAAAACGTTCCGAACGAAATTTAAAGTTTTTCTTTTCTAATATTATTATTATTATCATTATCATTATCATTATTATTATTATTATTATTTTGATATTATGCAACAACAATCGAAACTGTAACAACAACAACAACAACAAACATTTTTGCGTTTGCCAGTTCAGGGTTTTCGATTAAAGAGACTCCGACATGTTTACAAATAACGAAACGAAAAAGTTTTGCGCGCCAAATATAATAAAATACAGAAGGCGGTGGTTATTATTATTATTATTATTATTATTATTATTATTATTATTATTTAAAAAATTTAATCCAAACGATTAAAAAAAAAATTTACGTCATTTATATCACGACGGGTTTGGTCGGTACATTTATTTATTTATAATACGCAATGAAATAATAATAAATAACGAAATAATAATAATAATGATAATGATAATGATAATGATAATAATAATGATAATGATGATGATGAATGCCTTTCTCGTTTCCCTTGGACTTATTTTTCAACTTCAACCTAATTTAAATTTTTTTTTTTTTTTTTTAATAAATTATTTATTTTATTTTATTTTTGTATTTTTCACGAAAAAACGTGAGATCGTGTTATTATTATTATTATTATCATTTTACATTGGCGACGCCATTTTGTTTTTGAGCGCGCTCGCCCGCGCTCGCAATTTTATTTTTTTAATTTTAAATTTTTATTTATTTATTTATTTATTTATTTATTATTATTATCATCATCACAATTACGAAATCTTGGAGAAAACGAAAAAAAAAAAAAAATTGCGCCCGTTATTTATTTACTCCATGAGGAGTAGTAGTACTCGACGTCCTGACAAGTTTTTAATTTGAACATTTTTATTTATTTATTTACTCTATGACATTTATTATGAAATTTACGGTTCGGTTGACGTACGGATTTCGCGTGTGCGTATGCGAGAAACGAATTTCTTTAAAATTTGTTTTATTTGGGGGGCGGAAGGGGAGGGAGAGGAGAGGAGGAGGAGGAGGAGGGGTTCCATTCTTTCATTCTTCATCTGACATCCTCGACCTGATTTTTTTCTTTTTCTTTTTTTATTTTTTCTCCTAAAATTTATCCGTGCGTGGGTAGTGGTACGTTTCTTTTTTCTTTTTCTTCCAAATACGTCAACGCCCCGAAAGAAAGAAAATTTTTCGGAACACGTTTGTGCGAACGTAATCGAAATGATAATAATGATGATGATAAAATAATCGATTCGAGATCGAATAAAAATCGTTGATCGAATATATCGAATGGAAACGATAATTGCGTAGTAGTAGTAGTTTGTTAATAATATAAATCAAGTCGTGAGAAACTGGAACTCTCGGGATTATGTAAATAATAATATTAATAATAATGATAATGATAATAATACTAATCCTTATTTGTTATTAGTAATAACGATTGAACGCGTTTTTTTTTTTTTTTTTTTTTTTTACGTAATTACAACAATAAATCCGCAAAAAAAAAAATGATTTCAAAATTCACGGTCACGCTTAATAAACAATAACAAAGTTTCGAAACAATGTTTCGCTTATATAAGGGGGGGGGGGAAAGGATTCGAGCCTGAAAAAAAAATTTTCTTGTTACTAATAATAATAATAATAATGAAATTTTACAATGATTAAATCTTTCTCTGAAAGCCTCGTTATTCAAAAACCGTAAAAAAAAAGTTTTTTAATTCTTTTGCAAAGAGAGAGAGAGAAGAAAAAGGAAACAAAAAAGAAAAAAAGAAAAATTAATTGACTGTACTGAAATTAAGGAGAAAACGATCTTAAATGAAAAACAATAGAAACCAATCAAGCAGAAGCAGAAGAAAAAGAAGAAAAAAAAAGGGAGGGAAAGAGAGGGATGGAGGGATATAATGAAATTGTTTGGAATGATTGGATGACAAGACAAAGTCTTTTTTTTTTTTTTTTTTCTTAATACAAATTGATATCGATGATGTTGAATGGAAAAGAAAAAAAGAAAAAAGAAAAGAGAAAAAATCGTTACAAATTATTTAAAAGGAAAAAAAAAGAAAATGTGTGGAGATAATAAAATGAAAACATCCGTGCTTAGAAAAGAGGAAGAGGAGGAGTCACGTGAAGAAAAGCCTCCGTGATTGCGGATCGGTGACGGGTTGATAACGACGACGACGACGAATATTGGAGGGATTGATTGTTGACGTGGACGATGACGTCAAAAAAAAAATTTAGTTGACTTTTGTTTATAATGTAAAAAAAAAAGATGGCGAACGTGTGACTGAATTGCGGGAAAAATGCAAGAAAATCGTCGCGGAATCGATTCAATAAAAGAAAATCAGTGAATGAATAATTGATTGATTGATTGGTCGTTTATGGAAAAGTTCGGGTCGATAATCGGAATTGCGGAATGAATAAAATAATAATAATAATTTGTCGCCGTCATTTCTTCTCTCTCTCTCTCTCATTTTCTTATAGCAAAAAGAAATTCGTTTCATCAGCAAAAAAGAATTTGCTGTCGTTTTGCGTTTGTTTTTGTAGGAGATAATCAAATGTTTTCTTTTTTTATTTTACTAAGACGAACCTTGACCTTTATTTTCTACGTGTCATTTAAATGTTTTTCCGCCATTTTGATGGAGGTCGTCTCCGGAAAAATTTGCAAAAAAAAAAAAAAAGGTTTTCGGGTTATCGTTAATATTATTATTATTATTATTATTATTATTATACTTTTGTTGTTTTAACCTCTTTGCGGGACGAATGATGATGATGAAGATGATGATAATGATGATTTTTTTCTACGTTTAATATTATTGAGAGACGATTTTAATAAACGGTTTTATTATTATTATTATCATTGTGAAATTTAAACGTTTAGGATCGGCTGCTCTCGCCTCGAAGCGGAAGGCGTTTAATATTAAAAAAAAAAAAAAAAGAAAAGCCTTGAAGGTTTTCAGGTTGTGTTCAAGGTTTTCTTTTATAGGAAAAATCTCTGAGCTTGTTACTTCACAACACCTTCGCAAACCTATTTAGATACGTGAGTGAGAGAGAGAGAGAGAGAGATGGATAGATTTGTGATAACGCACGCACGCACGCACGTAAGGCGGTTAAATAAGGCATGAAAGTAAATAGGAGAGAGAGAGAGTATGTCGGAGGTGCGAGAGAGAGAGAGAGAGAGAAAAAAAATAATTTTTTTTAATCGATGTTGCGGTCGTTTCCTTTTCTTAAATTAAAAAAAAAAAAAAACGGAAAAACCGGAAATGACGAAACGAAACAAAAAGAGGGACGGGGGGAGGGGGAAGGGGGAATTATATATATATATATATATATATAATTTGCCCTTTTTTTCTTCCTGACTTCTCGTGTGTGTTAAGTTTTTAATTAAAAATGACGTCGTGACAAGTTTGCCTGAATTTTCCATTTTTTAAAATTTTTTTTCATTTTTTAATTCGCGATCGATACCGAGCCCTAAAAAATTTTCTCGCACCTGAGGTTTAAAAGAAAAATTTTAAAATATTAAAAAGAGTTTAATGGAATTCTCTTCATTTATTTATAATTTTTTTTTTGTTTTTCCATTCGTTCATGCGCCGCCCCTTACTCCGCCACTGATTATTCTGCTGCCACTGCTACCGCCATCGCAACGCGTCAATCGATTTCAAATCGAAATTTTCAAATGGGAAAGTTGAGGAAAACGTCAAACGAATAATTTTCAATTGTATAATTTTTTTTTAAGGAATAGGGGAGAGGGGGAGGGAGGGAGGGAGGGATGAAGGAGGTAGAAGTAAGATGGCGGATATGAAGTCGGCGTAATGATTTTTTTTCTTTTCTTTTCAAACATGGCTGCCGGTTTTCTTTTTCTTTCTTTTTTTTTTTTTCCTAAAGAGATAGTTATCATTATGATAACAGATTCTCCGGTTGTTATCATCATCATTATCATCATCATTATTATCATTTTTTTTACATGGAAAATGACCCGAAAAATGACGTCGGTCATGTAAAAGGTCGGTTTGTTTACTTTTTTTTTTTTTTTTTTTTTTTTTACAAAAAACTAAAATCGACATGTTGTGTGTGTGTGAGTTTTGATGATAATGTCGTGTCAGAAGATGAAAACGCATACAGACAAGCACACACACAGACACAGACAAAAGGTAAACGACTTGTTTTCACGGTTCTTTCCTTTTTTCCCCCCCCCCCTTTTCCCCCCTTCTCCCTCCCCCCGTTTCACGTTTAAATATTTATGACGAAATTAGCATAAAATATCATTTCCTTTCGACGTAAATTTTTTCTTTTTTTCTTTCTTTGGAAAAACGAATTCAATCGAAACAGAAAAAAAAAAAAAAAAGAAAAACAGAAAATGAGGCTACTACCCTTTTAACTCCTTCTCTCCCTCCCTCCTCCTCCTACTCCTCCTTCTCCATTTCAATTTTCCAGTTTTTTTTTTCTTTTGTTTTTTCTGCCCACGAATGGTTAATTAATAATAATAAGAATAAGAATAATAAGGAAAAAAAATGAAAAAAATCATTATTACGAGATTTCATAAAGGTCAAAGTTCACCTTTTTTTTTTTTTTATTAAAAAACTCGATTATATCGTTCGTAAAAGGGAATGTGATGATCAAATGAAAAAATCCGCGACACATTTCGATAAACAATTGTCGACCTTCTTCGGTGATGCTAAAACTCTTTCTTATTTTTTCGAGAAAATTCTATTGGAATGAAAAATGTGAAGGAAGAAGAAGAAGAAGAAGAGACGGAAACAAATGACGTATCGAATCGAATCGTATCGAATCGTATCGACAATCGAATGAGAAAGAAAGAGAGAGAGAGAGAGAGAGAGAAAAGCAATTTTTTTTTTTTTTTTTTTTTTTTGATTTAATTGAAAATAATAAATTTTAGGCGCGTGATGTATGGGATGTATATCAGAACATACACGTGTGCGCACGTGTATGAAAGCACACGAGGTGCGTAATAGCGACAAGGTCAACACCGCGACGACGACGACGACGCATTTGTTTGTTTTTTCCTTTTTTCCTCTTTCTCTTTCTCTCTTTCTCTCTCTCTATCTTCCTGCCTGCAACATCTCTGTTGCACGTGTAATGTCAAATTAATAATAATAATAATAATAATAATAATAATAATAAATTAATCGAGCAGAAATTTTCTTGTTGTTGTTGTTGTTGCAAACGTGATAATAAATATTCTATTTTATTTTTTCCATCGTCATTCGCGGTGTGCGTGAGTGCGTGCGTAAGTGCGTGAGTGATGCTTTTATTTTAAGCAAACAAGTTGGCATCGTACACACACATGCACGCACACACACACGCACACGCGGATAAACACGCGCGCATCGGTTGTTGTCGATTCAATTTCCGGAAGTTTAAATTGGCACTCGACTCGTGCTGGTTAAAAAAAAAAAAAAAAAAAAAATAAAACAAATAAAGTAAAAAGGGGTCAACAAACGGGGCAAATTCGTTTGTGTCAATGTCTCTCTGTCTATCTTTATCTCTATCTCTGTCTCTCTCTCTCTTTCGTTTCACTAGACCTGGTTGTCGTCATTGTCGTCGTTCACTCGTAACACACGAGAAGAGAGGACACCTGTCAAATTCTTTATTATTATTATTATTATTATTATTATTATTATTATTATTATTATCATTATCATTATTATGAATAAATAATAATTTGTTTGTTTGTTTGTTTTGTTTGTTAAACAGAAAAGCGAGAAGAAAAGACAAGGAACCATCATCGAGCGGGGGAGAAGATCCAAAATTATACCTCGAGGAAGCCGTTTTAGAAAGGAAATTACAAGATATCGATTTGAAAGCATTGGTAGCATTACCAGCTGGTCTGGATTATAACGAGTGGCTTGCGTCACACAGTAAGTGGCATTAGAATTTCTTTTTTCTCCCCCCAAAAAAAAAAGAAAAAAAAAATTTAATGACCCAGTTTTTTACGACCGTTTTTGAACGAACGAACGAACGAAAAAGGGAAACAAACGATCGCCGTTTTGCGTTTTTTTTTTTGCTACCCCCCACCTTCCTTTTCCCGCTTTTCCCTCTCCCTACCCGCTCCCTCACTCCCCCCACCCGGCCCCCCGATTAGATGCAAATCAATAAATGAAAAATATATATAATTATAACGTCTTTTTTTTTTTTTGGCAAACGAAATTGCGATAATTTTCCCTTTTTGTAAAAAAAACGTTTTTCGTGTCAGCAGAGAAAGGTTTTTCGAAACACGGTAAAAGAATTTCAGTTTTGTTTTATCCCCCCCCTCTTTCGCTCCAGGTTGAAAATTTCCCATTTTCTCTCCCCCTGACCCTCACCCTCTCTCTTTCTCTCTGTTCCTTTTTAGACATTAATTACTAGCGAAAAAAAAGCAAAAAAATTTCAACGGAAAATTTATTATTATTATTATTAATTTTACTCCCTGCGCTCTCGGCCCCCTGCCCCCATCCTCTCCTCCTCCTCCCACTCTTTCGATAATTAAATTTGTAGTAAGTTAAAGAAGGAATAATGGCGGGGATCATTGCCAAAAAAAATTCTTTTCGTTTCTTTTCGAATACCTTCTTCACCTTTCATCATCATCATCATCATCATCATCATTATTATTATTATTATCATTATTATTATCATTATCATTATTAAAATTATTATTTACGGCTCACGAATGTTTTTTTTTTTTTCCGCACAACAACTACAACGACAACAATAACAAAGACCCGTGTGTCGTTTGTTTGTTTGTTTCGTGGGGAGGGGACGGGGGGACGGGGTGTGCCCCTTTCTCGAGCGAATATTTAAATTCGTGACACGCGCGTAAACAAAAGTAAAACAACAACAACAATTTCCTACTCTCGAAAACAGATTCGTTTGTACAAAAAAAAAAAAAAAAAAAAAAAGAAAAAAAAGTTTGATTTATTTGTTTAACTGGAACGGGTCACGTGATCGATCAATGGCGTTACTTTTAAATTTTTTTTTTTTTTTTTTTTGTATTTTTTAAATGGATTCGAGTAAAAATATATTAACGACGATAACAACGATGATGATAATAATAAAGATATTATTATTATTATTATTGCCACGAGTCATTTTGATTCGTTTGACGTCATTATAATACGACGACGACGACACCTGCATCTCGTTTTCCGCGAGATTTTTTTCTTTTTGTTTGTTTGTTTGTTGTTGTTGTTGTTTTAAAATCATTTTGTCATTTTGCCTTTTTTTTTTTTTTTTTTTTGTAATTACTATAATGGAAAAATTTCTTTTAAACTTCGTGCAAATAAATTCGTCTCCCCAAAGTCAACAAACAAACAAACAAACAAACAAAGTCAAAAGAAAGGAAGGAAGGATGGAAGGAGGAAAAAATTTTTCGTAAAAGAAATTTCAAGAAGAAATTTCGAGGGGGAGGGTTTAAGGGGAGGGAGAAAAAGGGGGAATTTTTTTTTTTAACGGCGTCATTTGTCGTTTGTCGTAATTTGCGGTTGTTTCCGTGCGTTTAATTTTCCAACACACGCGAAAAAGAAAATCGATTTTTTTTCGTTTTCGGTTTGACGAAACTCGAAGAATTTTCTAGAAAAAAGAAAACATTAGGGAAAATGTCCTTAACCTTGAAATATAATAATGATGATGATGATGATGATGATGATGATTGTTATTTTATATCGTACTCGTGGTTAATACTCTCGTTAAACGTTTGTTTGTTTGTTTGTTTGTTAATGTTTATGTTTCACATATTGTTTTATCGAAGTAACCTTAGTAGCAGACGACAAATGGATGCGATATACAAATTTCCGTTTCCGCCATTTTCTTTAACTTTACTCTTCGAACTTTTTTTTCTACGCGGCACACGGTGGCATTTTTACCCCCCTTCCCCCGCCTCCCTTTTTACCTTTTTTACATATTTGAAAATGTTTCGAACTTTTCCTTTTTCAAAAAGGAAAAAAGGAAGAAAAGTCGTGACCCTTCTTCTCCTTTTTATATTTTTAATAAAGCTAATTAAAAAAAAAAAAAATTTTTTTTCCTTTTTTTTTCTCGAAACTTTTATTAGTTTTTTTTTTCATGTTTTCCTCTCCTTCCCCCCCTCTCTCTCTCTCTCTCTCTCCTTTCCCCACCCATCTCTCTCTTTTCACCGGTAAAAGGAAAAGGAAAAGAAAAAAATTAATTTCACTCGCTAACGAGATTCCAACAAGAAAATATAACGTTCGGGAGTTTTCTCAATGCTTATTATTATTATTATTATTATTATTACTTTTAGGTTTTTCCTTTTTTCCCCGTTTTCTTTTCCTTTCCCGTTTTCCTTTTCCATATATCTCACCATCAATCACTTTCCTTTCCCTCCCTCCCTTCCCGTTTTCCCTCGTTCCCTCTTCGTCCGCTTTTTCTTTTCTTTTCTTTTCTTTTCTTTTCTGTTTTTTGTGTTCATTTATCGATTTTCGTGTGTTTGCATGCACGAATGCAAATATAATTTGATCGATCGTTTGTGATTTCACCTCCCCCCCCCTCGCCTCCCGCTCTCCACCCTCGTCCCGCCTTACCCTCCCCCCCGACCAAGTAATCGATCGAGATTTGATTTCCGGCCACATTTTTTTTTTTTTTTTTTTTTTTTAAACTGCGACGAATACGATAATGATAATGAACAGGTCAATTAATTAAATAATGTTTGTTGAGCTGTTTGTTCGTCTGTTTGTTTGTTTGTTTGTTTGTTTCTTTCTCACGGTTAATTTACGACAATTAAAAAATATAAAGAAAAAAAAAAAATTCGTTTGACTTTGATTCAAATCGAGGAAAATGACGACGATGATTCGTTATTAAAAATCAAATCGTTATTATTATTATTATCATCATCATTATCATTATCATATTTTTTTTTCACTCTTTCAAGAGTTCGTTAAACCGGAAATACATCGAATGAATTCTATTTAAATATATTCGTTCGTTCGTTCGTTTGTTTTAATTTAATTTTTTTTTTTCCTCCTTTTCGTATCTTTTAATTGATTTTTTTTTTGTTTGTTTGTTTGTTGTTTGTGTGTGTGTGTGTGTGAAAAACAGCAATAGCGTTTTTCGAACACATAAATCTAGTCTACGGTACCGTGTCTGAATTTTGTACCATGTCGGGCTGTCCCGAAATGAACGGCCCCGGTCTGAGAACGTATCTTTGGTTCGACGAAAAGGGGAAGAAGACGAGAGTTCCTGCTCCACAGTATATAGATTATGTTATGACGTTTATACAAAAAACCGTTAGCGATGAAGCTCTGTTTCCTACTAAATACGGTAAGTAACGGAAATATTGTCTTTTAGCCTTAACGTGGGGGGCTACGGGGGGGGGGACACCAGAAGAAATAATGATAACGATCGCGAATATGTTTTTTTTTTTTTAATTTGATTTCCGGTCTTTCGAGAATAATTCAAAAAGTTAGGAAAGGTTGGTAAGAATGCGGAAAGCATCGTGTCAACAAGGCGGCGATTTTTTTTTTTTTTTTTCCCCGCCCCCGGAAACGAAAATTTTGGATGAAAGCCAAAGCAGGGAAGGGGGGCGGAAAACTTTTTGTTTAATTGCGATGGGGGTACGGGAGGGGAAGGGGAGTCCTCTTATCAGTCATCCGAAGGAGAAGGGGGAGAGAGAGAGAACATTGACCGATTAAGCGTTTCTTTCGACACGATGCCCCCACTTTCCCTCCCTCCCCCCACGGAATCCTGTTTTTTATGTGATTGACTTATTATACCCGCGTTATCATTATCATTATTAATATTGTTTTTGTTGTTTTTTTTCAGCAAATGAATTTCCTAGTTCTTTCGAGTCATTAGTACGTAAAATTCTACGGCTATTGTTTCACGTGTTAGCCCATCTCTATCATTGTCACTTCAGGGAAGTTGTTTTGTTGAACCTTCACACTCAATTAAATTGCGTTTTCGCACATCTCACTCTCTTCAATCACTCGTTTCAATTAATCGAACCCAAGGAAACGGAAATACTACAAGACTTAGTCGTGGCTTTAAAAATTCATTCGGACGTTGTAAGTACAAAACCTAAATTTTTTTTTCCTTATTTTTCTTTTCTTTTCTTTTCGCGATGTAGTGGGGAGTGGGAGGAGGAGGGGGGAGAAAGAGAGAGAGAGAGAGAAAAGAGCAATTTTGGGGTAAAAGGAGGAAGTCGGTCGGATTAAATTTAAAAATAAGTTAATAAATAAATAGGTCGGTCGTCTCGTTGTGATTTCAAATAAATTTTTATTTATATCATCATCATCATCATCATCATTATTATTATTAGTATTATTATTATTACTTTGTTGTTAAATTCTCGGGTTTTCAAAAGATGACCGTTACAAAAAAAAAAAAAAAAATACGAGAAATGGTATCTTTAGGTTTTTAAGTAAATGGCGGAACAGAGGGGAGGGAAAGAGAGAGGTGGGAGTGGAGCTGGGGAGGAGAAAATAAAGGGAAAAGTCGGAAAATTTTTTTATTTTTTTAAAGCGATCATCATAATGCGGCGTTGCTACGGCGGCGTTTCTAATTACACGTCATCCGTCGGTAAATGAATATTTAAAAAAAATTCGATTCGTAGGGATTCGCCAAAAAATTTCGTTTTTTTTTTTTTGCTTCGGTTTAACGCTTTTTTTTTTTTTTACGGTTTCGTAAGCGCAAAAAATAATTAAACGCAAATTTTTTTTTAGTTTTTTTTTGGTTGTTTTGCGGAAAATGAGAAGTCGGAGTCGTCATCGTCGTTTAAATTGTTACCACGATAATTTCTTTTTTTTTTTTTTTTTTTTTTTTTTGATTCCATAACCGGATGAAGGACGTCGTAATAATAATAATAATAATAATTTTTAATTGCTTAACTTGATCACCGTCATCATCATCATCATTCACATCATCATTATTAATAATATTATTATTATTGTCATCGTGGAAATTAGAAGAAGAAGGAAAAAAAAGATTATTTATTTAATGCGAATTTCGATATTTGGAAGAAGGATGCGTGGGGGGGGTTTCAAGGTCGGAACGAGAGGGGAGGGGAGGTGGAATTGTAGTAACACGTGCTTGTAAGAGTAGGAGTAGTGAGGTGGCGGTTCCGAGTTCTGTCATTTCGTAATTATATTTAGATTTCCTCCTTAACCTTTATCATTAGTCGTAGTTAATGATAATTGCTCTTTATCTCTCTCTCTCTCTCTCTCTCACTACAAGTCCATTACACAATTTACGCCTACTTAAATCTCGTGTCCGTCGTAAACAAGAGAGAAGGAAAAAAAATAATAAAAAAATCGATTTTTTATTTTCAAATAATTAATTATAATAATAATAATAATAACATACAACAAACGGGAGTGGGAAAATAAATTAATAATAATGATAGTAATAAGAGTTATTATTGTCGGAGGAGAGTTACAAGAAGAAGAAGAAGGAACACGTAGAAGATTCTCAAGAGGAGCTCATTAAAGAACAGGACTTCTCCCTGGATCAACATACAGGAGATTTTGAAGAGGAGTTTACTAAGAAGCTGGACTTCCTGGATCAACATACAAATACCTCGGAATTGAAGAACATTTTGGGATAGCTAATAACTCGACCTAGAAGAAAGAATATTAAAGAAGAGGCTTGTATCACAGTCGGAACTAAATGGAAGACTACAGATTTGGACGCGAAGACAAGACGAAAGAAGACATCTAGTACTGGGATTGAAGAACTAGAAGAATACTACCTATCAGGAGGAAAGACGGGAGAAGAGGACTACACCAAATAGAAGAGGATTACACTAAACAGAAGAGGACTACACCAAATAGAAGAGGACTACACCAAATAGAAGAGGACTACACCAAATAGAAGAGGATTACACCAAATAGAAGAGGATTACACCAGATAGAAGAGGACTACACCAAATTGAAGAGGACTACACCAAATAGAAGAGGACTACACCAAATAGAAGAGGATTACACCAAATAGAAGAGGACTACACCAAATAGAAGAGGATTACACCAGATAGAAGAGGACTACACCAAATAGAAGAGGATTACACCAAATAGAAGAGGATTACACCAAATAGAAGAGGATTACACCAAATAGAAGAGGATTACACAAAATAGAAGAGGACTACACCAAATAGAAGAGGACTACACCAAATAGAAGAGGATTACACCAAATAGAAGAGGACTACACCAAATAGAAGAGGATTACACCAGATAGAAGAGGACTACACCAAATAGAAGAGGATTACACCAAATAGAAGAGGATTACACCAAATAGAAGAGGATTACACAAAATAGAAGAGGAGTACCAGAATGGGATAGGAGAATACGTGGACTTCCATCAACAGCAGGACACATCTCCCAGGAGGGCACACATCGGGACTAGAAGAGGATAGAAGAGAACTTCGCCACCTACCGACGGATCAAAGATGAAAGTGGATTAAAGGGAGGTCAACGGATGGATAGAGGAAGAGACCGACCGGGATCGCCGATCTCCAAGAAGGACGACGGGGGCCAACGTACGTCGTCGAAATCACCCGCGGAATCTTCGTCATCGCCTCCTCCTCCTCCTCTTCTTCCTGCTCCTTCCTCTTCCTCCTCTTCTTCTTCCTGCTCCTTCCTCTTCCTTCCTCCTCCTCTTCTTCCTGCTCCTTCCTCTTCCTCCTCTTCTTCTTCCTGCTCCTTCCTCTTCCTTCCTCCTCCTCTTCTTCCTGTTCCTTCCTCTTCCTTCTCTTCCTCTTCTTCTTCCTCCTCTTCTTCTTCCTGCTCCTTCCTCCTCCTCTTCTTCCTGTTCCTTCCTCCTCCGCCTTTTCTTCCAGGTGTCTTCTTCGACGAACCCCAGACTTCCCGTTCGCGCTCGCGGTCCCCTTTCGCGCGCAAGACCCCTCCGAAAATCGTGGAACGCACTCCACCGCCACCCCTCTACCGAAGCGCCCCAAGTACGCCCCAAACACCCCGTGGACCGTGAGAACCTGAACGAGACGATGAGTAAAGGTGACCTCCCTAAAAAACCGCGGAGTGAACGACCGTCGCGAATAACCCCTTAACGATGCGAACGCGGCTCGGATCTTCGGTCGGAGGAGCGCGAGATGAGACCCGAATCGAAAGTAACCCCCCCAGTACTTGAGCGGCCTCCCCACCCCGACCCTAACCGATTCCGCGAGCTTTCGTTTTCGGCAGAGAAACCCCCCAGTACTTGAGCGGCCTCCCCACCCCGATCCTAACCGATTCCGCGAGCTTTCGTTTTCGGCAGAGAAACCCCCCAGTACTTGAGCGGCCTCCCCACCCCGATCCTAACCGATTCCGCGAGCTTTCGTTTTCGGCAGAGAAACCCCCCAGTACTTGAGCGGCCTCCCCACCCCGATCCTAACCGATTCCGCGAGCTTTCGTTTTCGGCAGAGAAACCCCCCAGTACTTGAGCGGCCTCCCCACCCCGATCCTAACCGATTCCGCGAGCTTTCGTTTTCGGCAGAAAAACCCCCCAGTCGATGCCGCGGATGGCCCCCCCTCCCGTCGCTTTCAGGCCCCATTCCGTGATTTCCCTCATCCGCGAAAAACTCCCCCGACGAACTCCCCAACTTCTTTGTGACGATACGAAACGAAAGACTCCACGAGTCGAAATCCACTTCGCTTAAAAGCCCCATATCCCCCGGGAAACCCGAACCCCCCGAAGCCCGCCACCCCGTCTCGAGCCCTAACCCGATGCCATCCGCGACTATTTCCGTGTATTCTCCTCTTCGGCCCCCGTTTCCCATTCCCTTACCGGTGACGAATAATTTGTGAAGAAGACACCATTTGGAAGATCGCACTATTTGGAACGGCTCACATTCTTCGGAAAATCCTTTGAATATCATCTCCTGACGTTTGCTCCTGAGGAATCGGGTACTCCCTGAAAAGTGTTAAAAAATAATTTCAATAAGATAATAATACAGTGTAATAATAATAATAACAACCTAAAATGGCACATTTTTTTTTTTTTAATAATAAAAATCAGTTACGTAAATGAATTTTTTTTTGTTTTTGGTTTTTTTTTTTTAAATGGAAAAAAATAACAATAATAATAAGTGTTACGTCATACGACGATAATAATAATAATGATGAGAGAAGAGAAACTGGGTTGAGGGGAGAGAGGCAAGGATAGGAAAACAAACAAACAATTTTTTTTTTTTTTATGGATTTGACATTTTGATTTTTTTTTTTGTTTTTGTAATTTAATATTCAGTGCACAGGTGCGGAAGGTGAACGGAGTAGGTCAACGTTTGTCGGTTGTTGTTGTTGTCGTTGTTGTTTGTTTCATTTCGAGTCGTTTAAAGAAAAAAGAAAATGAAATAAATGTCGTATGAATAATGAATGAATTTTTTATATTTTTTTTTTTTTTCAGGAAAAAGAAGATGGGGTAGAGGGTACACCATTAGTTAAAACGGAATCAAACGGAAACGGGAAAAACAACCAAAAAAGTCCAAAGAAAAATTATAACGAATCCACGACAACCGGAGGAGGAGGAGGGGGAGTAGGAGGATTCGGTTATTTTTCGTCAAACATAAATTTAGACAATACTAAGTTAAATTGTAGTAGTAGTAGTAATAATAGTCAGGATTTAGTGATTTTAAACGAACCTAAATTGGCAGTACCTGATCTCGAATCTAGTAATAATCAATTACAACAAAAGTTAGTATCATTATCATTAATCGTTGCGTTAATGACGTCACAATTTCCCCCCCCGGATTTCATTGATTTTTTTTTTACTTTTCAGAAAGTTGGAAAACGTATGAAACGAAAGCAACAACGCGTTGCCGGTTATGTGATGGAACGGATGATGATGATGATGATGATGATGACGATAATAATAACAACAACATAATATTGATGATAATAATAATAATAGCAACAACAACAACAAACGATGGTAGAAAAGGAAAAGGAAAAGGAGGAAAAAAAAAAGAAGAAGAAAAATGATGCGAATCGACAAAAGGAGAAGGAAAAGGAGAAGAAGAATACGCGTCTGCATACCATATTGAAAAAAAAAAAAAAAAAAAACATGGCGGGAAAAAGGAAATGACGTAATGGATGAATGGGGGGGGAGGGCGATGGGGAGTTAGAGAAGGAGGCGAGAGCGGAAATGGAAAAAATTTCTGGGGATGAAAGGGGAAGGTGTGAGGGTGGGGGTGGGAAAACGTATCGGAAAGCAGAAGATTTAAAATCCCTGATACGTCACAGTTACATTTTTTTTTTTTTTTTTTAGTTATATGAAAAGTAATATAAAGATTATAATAATAATAATGATGATGATGATGATGATCTTAATTAACCGTTCTTATTATTATTATTATTATTATTAATATTATTCTATAAAGTTATTTAAATGGAAAAATGATGATGAGATAGAAAAGAAAAAAGAAAATTAAAATAATAATAATAATAATAACAATAATGAATAGTAGTAGTAATAATAATAATAATGATGATGATTAACAATTTTTTTTTTCTTCGCGTTTTTTTTTTTTTAATTATAAATATGACGTCGTCTGCTGTTTGTTTAATTAATTTCATTTTTTCATTTTTTTTTTTTTTTGCAT